GGGGACGAAAATCTCACTTTTCATGCAGTGTTACATTTCCTGAGTTATGTGTTTTTCCATTTGGGTATGCAAAATGGGCGAGGATTATGTCAAATTGGGTGCTACAAGACTCTTATCAGCTTCACCTGAACCACCTGAGATGTCCTGCATTCAGCTCCAGCCACTCAACTCTGGGGCCACACCACCAATCATCTTGCAAGATCCCATTCATTTAGCTCCTGGCCTAGCTTCTCTCACTCGCACACAAGCAAACTTTCAGCCATTTAGCGCATTGTTACGTCCCTTTTTAATCTGATGTGCAGCCTCGGTTCCTTATTTCTTAGCCTTCAGCAAGCTCATTTTCTGTCCCTCACCCACCAGCTTTAACTTAGATTGCATCTTCTTTGACACCCGGTAATCCATGGAATGTTGCATGTTTTATACAGTTTGTATAAAACCTCTAACTCAACACTGTTACAGACATTTTGTTGTTTTATCCCTCCACCACCAGGTGGCGCCCTGTTCTTGTTGGTCCTCCCATACACCTGCGGCTGGTTGGCTCATCGCTGAGAACTATTTGAGCCATGGACTGTCACTACTTCGGTGCCAGAGTGTTTGCCAGTTTTGGGTACTCTAGCCAAGCTGAGTTTTGCTGAGTCTTTGTTTTTTTCGTTGAGCCTAACCTTATTTTGTCTTTGCCTTTTCGGCATGAAGCCTTCCTGCAAGCTGGATGTTCGGCCTTCTTCCCCTAGAAGGATTGTTTGAGTCACACGCTGAGCAGGGGATTAACCTCCACAAGTTCCATTCAAGTCCTCCTGGATTCCCAAGTGACAGTCGGCTCAATAGTTCCTCAGGGTCAAACCAAGTCTATACCTGTCCGCCCTCCAACGAGTCTCTACCTCTGGATAAACCCACACCGACTAGATTCTGGGAAGAAAGTTTTCTCCAGTAACGTGAGTCCCGTTTTCTCTGCCTCTCCAAGTCATCGTTCAAAGTTCCACAGATACTTCCCTTCCCTCTTCCAGTTCCGGTTCACCAGTACACTGTGTTTCCTGAATCCAGCCCCCGCTGGTTTTATCAATAAACCTGTTCAAACTTTACCCTGGTTCTCTGAGTGGTTTACTGCATGTGGGTCAGATCTCTTAAGAAAATCATGACACCTGGTTTTGGGGTTTGGTCTACTTGCACGGCCCCAGCACGTTTTTTTGGGTTACTCATCCTTTTCTAGGTTACTCATCTAAGCATACGTTGATTAATATGCTGCTTATGTCTCCTTTAACCCCAGTCGGCCTGGGCAGATGGCCGCTCACACTGAGCCTAGTTCTGCTGGAGGTTTCTTCCTTTTAAAAGGAAGTTTTCCTCTCCACTGTCGCTATATGCCAGCTCAGTGTGAGGGATTGCCGAGAGTCAATCAGCTGGTTTTCCTTAGATAGAAATATTTTGAAGGATAGGATTATGTTACCTGTATAATTAAAATGAATATTTTCTAATTTCAGCTTTTCTCTGAGTAAGTCTCTCTAGGTTGAATTGCCTTTTCAATTCTTACATCACAGCCATTTTGCTACGTCACTTTTTAATGTTATATCATAAGCAGCAATTTAAGATAATAAAATATGAAGGAACATTTAATGTAACATCAGATTTTGAATAGTTTTCTTCCCTTAATAAATTAAGCATTGTTTTTTGAATCCATTATTTTGTATACACTTAAATTATAAGATAATGTTCTGATCTTAAAATACATTATACTATCAAATTAAAGCTGTCTATTGTGACAAAAAATCAAAATAAAGAATTCTGTTTGAAGCAAAAAAAACTTTACTGCTGTATTAACACATATACAGTAAGTGTTTGATGTGCAAAAGTACAGTCATTTGATTACTTAAGCAGACATAAAATGTAATTAATTATCCAAATAGCTTGTAAAATATCAGGTATTAAGGAGTGGTGGCCTACTGGTTAGGGTATTGGGCTTGAAATCTAGATGTTCTGAGTTTAAACCCTACTCTCACACTCAGGGTCCCTGAGCAAAGACCCTTAACCACTCACTGCTCCCCGGTCACCACACAGTGGCAGCCCAATGTTTCCCGAAGGGATGGGTTAAATGCAGAGAGCTCATTTTGTTGCCCTCTACTTGTGACAGTGTAATGACAATAAAAGCTGGAAAAAGATAAAAAAAAAAAAAAAAAAAAAAAAAGAAATTGTCTTGCCCTATAACAGTTGTTTTAATTTGCTCGTCTTCCAGTAATGATATAAAGCTGACAAACAAATATGTCAAAATTCTACATTTAAATTAGACCATTGTCACCCTCTCTTTCAGTAATATGAGGCAAAGGTTGCCTTAGCTATAATATGGGTATCCCCCTCTATGTAGGTGCGGCTCTTACTAGAAGCAGCTATGTGATCTAAATGTCACCAAGTCCTCCCCATTCATGCACACAAACACAGAGCAGAGCAATGTGTGAACCCGAGCAGAAAGGATAGTTTGTTTCTCCGAGCTCATGTATTGAAATATTCAAGAGTTCTCTGTGTATAAGACAGTTGCTGCCATCTGCACTCATGAATTCAGCCCTTCTATCATGGCAGAGCATAAGGCTAATATCAGAACAAATGTATGTGAAAAGTGTCAAAATAAATTCTCTACTCTATTCTGCCTGGCAAATCTCAATATTGCCTGAATGGCATAAACAACACTTTTCCTTTGCTTAAACATAAGCGAACGAAGAGAAATCTGCACCTGTAGGATCCAAAATTTCCATATCCATGAGAGAGGAAAGAAAGAGGAAACATTTACACAGTGCTGCTTGCAGACTTTTGAAGCAATCTTTCCTGTTAGATGTCTTACAATGTCATTGTGGAGCAAGCATGCTCCTGTAGGCTTTACAGATTCCTCCCTAAATGAGAGATTTTCTGAGACTAAAAAAAAAAAAGCGTAGGAGGAAGGGTGCAATCAGTCCAGGTTTGTTCTAGGCAGCATCACTTCCTTCCTTAGAGCCAGGAGTGTGTCAGAGTGAGACATACAAATGTGGTTTTCACCCAACACTTTCCCAGGACACTAATTCGGAGCAATTCTAATGGTGTCATTCAAAGCAGCTGCCTTTCTCAGCAATAAACTGAACGCCTTGCCTAAGCAATTCAAACCGCCTCCAGAGATGGCAATACAGTCAGCAAAGAACTTATCTTTGAAGTGAAACTATTCATCAATGAATGTGTTTGTATGCCAGAGAGAAGAGGGTGGTTTGAAAAGAACCTCAGCTACACCTGAATGGCTACTCTTCCCGCTTGGCAGCTGATACTTTCTCACATTTTGTTAATGTTCACATGTTTTGTATATCGTTTGCCAGTTGGATTATGTACTAGAACAGCAATGTATAATATTGATGGGTGGGCTAGAAAAGCAAAACTGGAAATATCTGCTACTGAATTAGCTTCTACTCTGGAGGTTAAACTTTGTGTTGATGGGTCAGAATTTCATCAAAACGAAGTAGAGCAGAGTCCTGCTCATTTTCTTGACAGAGAAAAGGGTCATTAGTCCATGACAGATGTCAAAGAACCAAATATAGAAAACACAGCTGCTATATCACTTCAAAGGCACGCTCTGAATCACACTACAGCACAAAGGCTCTGAAAATTTTGTTTATATTGCCAGTTTATACAATGCCACAATTACCCTGGCCTTGGTCATATGAATAAATCATGCTTTAAGGCAGTGTGTTCAGAAATGGGAAAAATAGCACACTGCATAATAGTTCAATGGCTTCATTAATGGAATATAGCTTCTTCAATGGATCGCTGTTTCAAAGGGGACGTTTAAATGAAAATTTGTGAAAATGCAATTCGTTCAATATAAAACTAGAATTTGGCCAATGATAAATAGGACTTGTCATAATCAGTATCTTCTTTTAAATTTTTCTATCATTATTAACGCAAAATAAAGATGGAAATAGAGGCTAAAAAATTCAGTTGCTTTTTTTTGTTAGCCTGCTTCAGTAGTAAAAGGCTGAAGGCTACAGATAAGGCAGTCAAATATTACAGAAAAATACTGAGATGGACACTGTTAGACATTCTGAATTCAATGGAATGCATGCGTGTATGAATTTGTAAACCACCTTTTTGCGGAAGGGAGGGGGTTGTCCTTCAGTGAACCCAGCCTGTGTTGTTTTGACCGGTGTTTACATAGCCTTCTGAATGTGTTCCAATGAGAACAATGACAAGGAAGGTACCAAAATGGCAATGCAAAGTTGAGCTGCAAAACACTTAAAAAAAGTGAAAAGTGGCAGGAGAATTTTTTTTACTAATTTGTAGTGTAACATAAAGTCATTAAGCAGAGTATTTGCAGCCGACTTGTTGGTAAAAGGAGCCCAGACTTCTTGTTTTTCAAAGCAGATTAAAGATCAAGACAGGAAGGGCCAGGTTTAGGGAAACAGGAAAACTGATGCAAGGAAATGGTCTACGTCACTAGCCAGCCCACTGCATTCAGAACACAAATTATGATCCAGACTCACAGTAAGTATGGAGTCTTTCCTCAAGTCACCAGTGAAACTTGTACTTTTCACAGGTAAGTGTGAGCTTATTTCTAGGGCAGCAAAGCAAATGTCTTTATAAAGAGAAAATCCAGTAGTTTCCATGAAGACTTTTACTTTCGCTTGGTTTAAAGGCAACTTGATTTTTCTCAGATTCACACATTTCTTGGTTTTGCTAGATTAACTGACAAACTAGTGTTGCACATATGATTTTTCAAATATTGGACATTTCTGTTATACTGGTGACGCACTTTCAGATAAAAACAATGATTTTTAATGATTACAGGATTTAGAATCTTAGTGATTGTAAATCACTATATTTTTTCTTCCTCTTTTGCAGCATGGCTCTGGAGTCTAATGGACACAGGCAGCTTGTCTGATAGTTGTCATGTTTGTCACAAAAATGCAACGTGTACTACTCAAAATGGATCCAGCATTGTCTGCTTATGTAAGCATGGATTCACAGGAGATGGAAGAAATTCCTGCGAAGGTAAACACAAGAACACACATAATCCACTTAGAGAAGCTGGTTATATGGTCTTTTTTTTTTTTTCATTTTAAAGGTTTTTCATCTTAACCTCAACCTGTAGATTTTTACATAAAACTTAATTCAAAATGTATTTCACATATCTTACACCAGAATCCAATTCATTGAAATTTTTCTTTTTTCCACTAAACTGTGCAGTTAAAACCATATATTTACAGACACTGTACAAAATACAGAAACTATTACCCCCTTACTGTCTGGCAACTTTTCTTGTTTTTGATCAGTCAGATTTATCTTCCATCCAGGAAGTCAGGTAATTTATTTTTGCTAAATCTCAGAATAATTACAGATTTCTTTATAACATTTGTTATTTTCTTTATTGTTAGAGCTTTGCAGCTTTTGTGGAGAACTGCCTTTAATCTCTATTTATTTGTTAATCATTTCGGGGTTTCCTTCTACAAGCTGCTTAAACTTTTTCTTTCTGCTATTATTTTTTTTTTATCTAAACCCTCTGAAGGAACTGGTGTAAATGACTGTCTCCCACAAGAGAGTTGCACTTTACCAGTAACATATTACAGCTTTCTAATTACCTTAATTACCATTAAGATAGACTTTGTTACCCTGAAGTTGGTTCCTGACTCATTATTATGGTGTCCTAGGGTCAATTTCCATTTGAAAGACCTGTTTGCACTGTTTATGTTACTTGAATACTTTCACACAGCCAAACCCATGCTTGCTACTCCATCCATCCATCCATCCATCCATCCATCCATCCATCCATCCATCCATCCATCCATCCATCCATCCATCCATCCATCCATCCATCCATCACTTAATCACTAATTATGGCCAAAGCCTTCATTTTAGTATAACCACATCACAGGATATACCTTTTAAAACGTGTCCTGTTGTTTTTTGTTTTTTTTGTCTCTGAACACATTTGCCTGTTATGCTGATTTAGCAGGATTTTCTTCTTCCTTCTAAGGGAAGAAGTGGTCTTTAATCACATGCCTGTTGAGGACTTGATTTGACTTTTCCACAGTGTTCAACTTTCATATAATTGTTGAAATGTGGAACCTTCAGGGAATCCCACATTAAAACCAATATGAAGAAGACTTGTGATGGTCCAAAATCCTCCTACATTAATATCTGACTTTTTTTTTTTTAATATCATGTAAAAGAAGAAGATGTTGTTTAGGAATGTTTGCTTTGCTTAAAGGTATTGCGGAGTATTTTCGCGAATTTTTTAAAAGACCCACCCTCTCCAATTAAAAAAATATATATACGCGTTTGAGAGGAAGCACACGCCCATTTCTCCTCATGCACGCTCATGTTAAAGGGTGCTGTTCTCATACCTCATACAAGCTTAATGTGCCCGAATGCCTGCTCTAACATGTAAATCACTATACAGAGCAGGGACTATATAGTGGACTTTATAGCGAATTCAGTTAACTTACCGGTGGACAGATGATCACTGCTTTTTGCTACGTTGGTCACGCAACTCCTCCTTCACTGCGCGGTGCCTGCGCCATCTTTGTTATTAGTCGCCCCTGTCGGGTAGCGAAAGCCTATGACGACAGCTGGCCACTGTGACAGCAAATCCCATAATGCTTTCCACGGAGAGTTCTCTGTTCAAAGCATTCCGGGATATATTGGCCTCTTCTGAGGCCTTTCATTTCTTTTCATACACTTCGTAGACACTTTTTCTGTTACGACCCTCTGCCATTTTTAAAGAACTGCGGTCAAAAAGGTGAGCTTCAATGACTGGCTGAAACCCTAGCTGACCACATATATACGCCTGAAAGTGTGCATGCGCAGAAAAAGATACCTAATGGATAAGCATGTAGAGCGACCTTACATAAACATATCACCAGTATGATTGACCATCAGGAGGACCACTTATTTAGATGATAAACCCCGAAAATAAAATATAGTCTTCTATACCTTTAACTGAAATGTTATGAATTAACTTATGAATTATTAAAAGGTACAGAATGCCCACTGTATGTAAACTGGTACTGCATAAAATAAAAAAAATAGAAAACAGAAAGATGATAAATCAATAATTATGCTGGCATTTAACAAATATAAACACATGGTAATCTTAACTGAGATAAAAAAAACTTAGATATTTTTTCAGTTATCTGTTTACAATGTGTGTTTTATTTTTTTATTTTTTATTTTTTTGCTTTACTGTTCATTTTACCTTTTTTTAAAATAACTATGCTGTTTCAAATGATTCACATTTTGTAAACACAGAGAGGCTATAATATTTTCAAGTCAAATCTCAAAACACTGCTATTTAATGCACTTTTGATGTTTTATGTCGTGTCTGGAAGACTGAGCACTATTTGGAGGAAAATCATTTCAATGATGCAGCTTGTAAACTATTAATCTCTGGGTTAGCTTTTAAGTTGATGTTGTTCTTCCTGTTATGTTTCTGAGCTGTTTAGAATTACTGACAACCTTGTCTACTCTGTTTCCTGACCTAACTGAAAGCACAGCACACTGAAAAAAAAGATACTTTGGATGAATTTAAAAAAATTACTGTAATTTGTTACACCTAAATTTATTACTTTATCTCAAATTAACTTTCTGATGTGGTTGAAACTATACATTTTGATTTACTAGAAATAGATTTT